ATAAAATAAATAAAATAAATAAAATAAATAAAATAAATAAAATAAATAAAATAAATAAAATAAATAAAATAAATAAAATAAATAAAATAAATAAATAAAATAAAATTATTACTACAATAAGAAATAGTTTAATTACTATACTTAAAAAGATAGAAATAGTTGATTGTAATACAGCTGGAATTTCTATTTTTAGATTTTTTATAACAGATATAAATATAGACAGAAAAATATATTCTGTATATCTAATAGATTTATTAGTATATTATATATTATAAATACTATTAACTAGTATTTTAGGCTGTAGTATTTTTAAAGCTAGTAGTTATCTTAATTAATACTCCTCTAATATTAATTATTTTTTAACTGTAATCTACTAAGGAACTTTATTCTAATAGAAATAGATTTAATATAAATTAATATTAATTATAAAATTGTTTTTCTTTTAAAAACAGTAATAATTATAAGATTATTAAAATAAAAGATTTTTTTAGTATATTTATAGTATCAATATTATTTTTAGTAATTAGATGTAGCTAGTAATAGACTAACTGTTTATATCTTATAAATCCTACTAAGCTAAGTATATTTTTTCTTATATAATTTATTTTATAAATATCTATATTTTGATTATTTTTTATACAACTAAATATATATTATTTAAGGTAATTTTAGCTTATTTTTCAGCTTTAGAACTAATATTAATAGAGATGCTTAGCTGGTTAGTTTTAAACATATATTCCAGATATAGGATTTTATAATTATATATTATAATAATTATAGTATTAGATTTATATTAAATAATTAATTTTATAGGTATTTTTTTTATAAAGATATATTATATCTGATTGCTTTTATTATATTATTACCTCTATTCTTAAAAATTGTTAAGTTTATAAAATTTAGCAGTTCTACCAAGCTCCACCACCTAAAGAGAATATAGTTAGCTGTTAAGATAGCAAAGTTAGTTAATAAATCAAGCATCTATCCATTTATAAAATCATTCCTTCAAGCCCTCGAACGGCAACAAAGACCTTATATTAGTAGAGTAGTAGATGGTTGAAGATATTGAGGTTTTTATATTAGGTAGGAACACAGACATGTAACCAGACTTACAGACACTAATTGTATTACAGAATTATAACTATCTTTATAAAATATGTTAACAGTATCTAGTTTCTACTTATTTTTTTAGTATTTAAAATATAGATTTTAATAATAAATAGTAATAAACAATATCTTATTTTATTTTTAGGCAGTTGGTATATATGGTGCTTAAAGGTGCAAGTACGGGCCCTGCTGGGCCCGCTAAAGATGTGTCGCGCCAAGGGAGGAACCCGCAGGTCTGACTGGCCCTCTTATATAAATTTCTATTTCTGGAAATTTAAGCGGTCCGCGGCAGTAGAATACCAATCGGAAATAGTAGCTTAGCACTCTAGTCCAATACGTCCAAATCCTGGTCCTATTATCCCTCTTCTGACATTATTATTACTATTGAATCACTTCTTAGCTATTACCACGTATTCAACCACTTCAAAGAGAATGGGTATATTACGGCTCAAACAGCATCTAGAGCCCTTTCTAGAGGCAGTATGTCTACATGATCGAGTGCATCCGACGCCAGGCGTAACCACTGCGCAACATGTGGTAATAGACGGGCCTAGCCTTGTCTACCATGTTTACCATCGCCTGCTATCGTGGTCTCATCCCGATCTTTGCTACCCCGATATACAACCAACTTGCGATGAAGTGAGCCATGGGGTTATGCTATTCCTCCTTCACCTGACGTCTTTAGGCGTGACGATGTATAGTATGCACGAAACTCTATTGTGAGATTAATCCAACTAATCACATACCCTGTTAGAGAAAAAGTATGCTTCGACGGTGCTTTGCCTCCATTGAAGCAGTCGACACGCCTTGCTCGCTTGGAGAAGACCAGGAAAAGACTTGAGGCTTTTCGGATAAGCCACTCGGGTTGTCTAAGTACATCTCTTGTCCCGGAAAGGATGACAGTCAACCGGTGGGAAAATGTCCTGCAAAGCAGGACCCTGCCTACCAATCTTACCCTGGTACCAGAAAACCATTTTATCGTCCCTGCGGTTTATGAAGACCTCCGACAACGTTGGTCCAAGGAGAATATTCTTAAGGCCCTCCCGGTTGATTCATCCTTGCGTATGGCTGCAAACCGTCTCGCAAGTTTGCCCTGGGCGGATGTAACCATCATGGTCCCAGGCGAGGCGGACGCCTACTGTGCCCATTTTGCTAAGGAAAATGCTTGTTCGATACTTACAAATGATTCTGACCTGCTCTTGTACGATATAGGCTCATCAGGATCCGTTATCCTTGTCAGTTCCATGAGTTTGCCGCACACATATCCAGACAACTCAATTACAGCCCAGGGCATTTGTCCGAATACAGTCGCGCGCCGTCTGGGATTGGATTCACTGCTACCATTGGCATTTGTGCTACAATCAAATCCGGGGATTGGGATGGGAGAGCTTATTCGGCGATCAAAGATTGTTGACAGGGCACCTGATCCTGCCCCAGGCTATTCTCAGTTTTCGAAGGAGTACCAGACCTCTCCGAGCATCCTTGTTGATAATATAGGAAAGCGATATCCCCAGTCACTCGATACCAGGGTCTCAGAAATGGTCGCTCAGTATCTTTTCCCAGAGACCTATTCACACGACGCTTCGCCTAGTATGTATCTCGTGATGCTCACTGAGGATCCGAAGCGGCAGTGTGCTTGGTTGCAAGGACGTGTGATCAGGGTCATAGGCTATTCTCTTTTTAATCTAACACAACCGATAGATAAAAGGCATAACTACATTATTGAGCACATCAGGCGAGGTGGAAGAGTTACATGCGACACGATAGCCTTGGAGAACCAATCTTCGCTATCAGCAGAAATGCAATCCTTGCTCGACCAGCTTGATGTCGTCCAGGCGAAGACTGGTATTGAGGTTGACTGCCCGGTCTTTTGGAGGACATTTGCCCTCTATACCATATTTGGACTGCAGACAACTCCTAAAACTCCAGACCTCGATCAGCTAAAGCGGCTTTTGGCCCATGGGTCTATGAGCAATAATTTGGATTGGGACGATGTTCACGTGCTAGCCCAGATTCAATCCGTTCTGTATTCGTTGAGGATCCTTAAGCAATTGCTTGGGATATCAGAGTTCTCTGACAGACAGGCGACTCAAGTATCTGCCGTTTTGGCCCATTTACCACCGCTACATGTTTTGGTGAGATCAGTACATGAGATGAAGAAAGAGTCAGCGATCCTCCCAGCTAAGGATGCCATTAATCAAGCCATACTGTTATGGAGTGAAAGCAGCGACGACCATGGAAGGAGAAAAAGACCGCGCGTGTCCGCTGGTGGTACACAAACCCTGAAATCCGGGGATTCAAGGTCAACCTACCACAAACCGACGGCAACAAGTCGCACGTGGCCGGTACGGCCTCAGAATATCTTCGAGCTTCTCCGACACCAATGAACGTCTCTCACTTAATTGTTTGATCTCAATTTCTACTGTCTTTTGTATTCGGCTCAGATGCGGAGCCCAATAAAAGTCTTTGAAAGGATGAAAGAAATACAGTATATAAAGCTCATCCATCATGTCTGAGGTTAGGCTCTGGAAATGAATGTTTACAACTTAACGAGCCGACCTCAAGAATCCTACCACTCCCCGACAGTATCCCACTAGCTCGGCCAACCGCTGGGCCTCACGCCGTTGTGCCTGGCTCCATGCAAGGAGAGCATTCTTCAGAGGGTCGTCATTGTCGTCGCCGTCAAGAACAGAACATGCTGCCACAGAATCTGCATGGACTCTCAAAAACACGGCCATCCAAGCATTAACAAGCTCAAAATCTCTCCTCTGATGAAGCCGGGATGAAAGTGCTATGACGAAGTCTGACAATTCGGAACCATTGGCCTGCCTTTGGGGTTCTAATGACCTGATTTGAAGATCCGCTTTCGCTGGAGGCAGTGACTTGAGGTATTCAATGAAAGGATTAAAGTCATTCGAGACATGGCCGGACTGCAGGAGATTGGTAAACTTGGAGCTTGTGATACCGCTTTCACCGATACGCTGCATCTTGGTGATCCTTGAGCGTTCAACGATTGCTATTCCCGGGGAGCCGGTGGGCTCAGTTCCCGCTGTGCTTGAATCGGAGTAATGGCTCGGAAGGAAAAAAGGGGCCTTGGAAGGGGCTTTGGGGGGTTCCTTTGGTCTGTTTCGCTCCTGTGAAATAGTAAGTCAGAAGGGTCCAGGCAACTTCAGACGCAAGAAACAATAACTTCTTGGGTACTGTAGTAGGAGGTCCGGTGAGGAGTACCTTAACGAGATTCAGGTGAAGGAACGTTTGCCACTTGCTCTTAGGAACGACACTTAGCGTGACCATGTTTTCACTGAGCTGGTCAATGGTAGGTAATGGGCCGTCTACTTCATCTTCCACATTCTCTTCGGAGAATGCGGCTTCGATGACGCCTGATGCGTATTCAACGGTAGACGCAGGAATGCCAACACTGCTTATTTTGCGATCGTCCACATTCTGTGTGGAAATGGGTACAAACAAGCTTCTGTTAGACCAAAGACTTATCCCCAAGCCATCTGCGTGCGCAGTAGCCAGAAATTCACCTGTTGACGACATAGCAACCGAGGTACAAGTGCTGGAAACACGGAAAACATCGATAAGGTGTCCTGTTGGCAGGTCCCAAACCCGGATTGTAGAGTCCATGGATGCAGCAATGATCCAGCGTCCATCATTGGAGAATGAGAAATCGTTTATTTGGCCGATACACCCCCAGAACTCTCGAATTACCTTCCTAGTTTCCACGTCAACAACGCGGATGGAAAGATCGTCACAGCCAAGCGCAACAAGCTCGCTTGTGCGGCTATAGCGGAGTCCGTTGATTGATGTCATAGGATACCAGTCAAGCTCATCGACCAATGATCCAGAAACAAGATCCCAGAACTGTACAGACGTTAACTGTTGCAAGTTAATGTACAGGAAGCCATGTCCCAACGTACCTTAACTTTTCCATCGAGACCACAGCTCACAACATTTCGGTTCAAACTGTCGATCATCAGGCCAGTGACTGCCTTTGAATGCTTCAAAAAGCTGTCAGGTCGCCTAAATGAACTCGTACGCCTATCTTTTCCATTGCCCCGTGAGTCTCGAACCGGAAAGCTTTGCCGGTGGGCGCCAGACTGTAAGTTGAACATGTCTATGCTGCCCCCCGCAGAACCTATTATTGCAAAAGTTCCGCACTGTGACATAGCGACACTCTGGTGCATGTGTTAGCGAATATCAGCCAGCGATACGAACCTGAATCAAGCTTACTTTGACTTCAGTGCCATCACCGGTTTCTAATGTCCAGCGACCGGCTTTCTTTTTGCCCCAAAACCATGTCCGGGCATATTTGTCTCCACGGTGGCCAGTGACTATACTTTCCCAACCAGTCTTGCTAGAATTGTCTGTCCTCGTTACCGTCGGATTGGCCCAAATAGGACCTGTTGTTGTTGTCCCCATCCCACCATCTCGATTCAGTGAGCAGGCGATACAAGTGATCTCTGATGCTTTAAATCCATTTTCGGATAGGCCATGAAGATTCATGGTCGCATTTGATGCGGTCTTTTTCTTCAATTTGTGTTCAACAGCACCTTGAGAGATTTCCGTGTTCTGGCTATCCTTGCGCGCACTGAAGCCCCACAGGCTTCGGTCTTTGCTTGCGCTTAACAACCACTTACCTCCAAGCTCCGATCCGTCAGATGCAGCAGGGAGGAATTCAACAGCGGTGACCGGGGCGGAGTGCCCACTCCGGGAGTGAAGAAGTCTAGGGGTGCTTGAGAAGGGATTTTGATCAAAGATCCACGTTTTCAGCGAGTTATCGCCTCCGGATGAAATCATAACAGGTTGACCATCCAAGAACTGGATATGACTCACACCAGAGCTTGTATCGTCATTGGAAACCTCATGTGCCTGGCGAAGAACACCAGATACTCTGCCACCGTTGTTCAAATCCCACATAGTGATATCACCACTATCAACACAGGCCGTTGCCATGACACCTGATACTCTTCCATCTTCGCCCGCACCCAACCCGTCTGTTCGAAAGGTAAGAGATGTAATTTCGCGTGAGCGTGATACGTTGCTTCGTAAAGATAGCACCACTTCACCTGTTTGCACATCACAAACAGAGATTGGACCATTCTTGTACGCAATTGCAATCAGAGACAGGACAGGACTTGCTTGTAGAGCAGTTACAGCCCCAGCGGAAGAGGACGCTGGCACTATCGAGTGAATCAACTTTCCTGACTTGACATTCCAGATATCAACCTTTCCATCGCACCTTCCAACAAATATCTTGTTCAGATACGTTGGCATATTGCAGATCTGACCGGTATAAACCTGCTCTATCGATGATTCCTTTGTCTGTTGCGGGAAGAGCGTTGTATAATGCTCGTACGATGCGTTTTTCCATACTGATATATTTTTGCCGCAGCTGCCGACTACCCATGATCCAAAGACCAACAGCCGGTCGATAGGCTCAGTGACGTCGGGTGGCAGCTCCAACGATGCAATTTTTTTGCCACGCTTGAAGACCCATATGCCCCCTGGAGATCCAGGCCGGAGGCTTCCCCATGCGGCGAAAACCCTGTCTTGCCAGGCGAACGTTGCCGTTATGATGTCTGGAGTCTGAGGCCGGCTCACAAAGACCAGGCTAAGTCCGCGCTGTAAATCGTAGGTTTGCAAGCTGCGCCCGACAGACGTAGTGATCTGATATGTCGATTTACCCAATCGGATGAAAGTAAATGGAATCTTTGTCGTTACAAGTCCTAGTGTCTGCGTGTACATTAGCGCTGATAGTCTTCGACAGAGAGGCGAATTCTTTGTGAAAGCATGCAAGCCCAATCGATGTCTTACCCGATATGGTGAAAATATTTTGGAACCAGGTAACTGTACAGGTTGCTGACCCTGCAAACTATCTCTTCGCTTCTGCCTCTTCGCGGATGGTAGATCAAAGCTGTCATCGTTAGTTGACGACATGGTGCCAAGTGCCCGAAAGAAAAATCATGTGTGTTCTGCTGCAGTCGACCTGATTTTTATGAATTCATGATAAAACCTTCGTCGGATCTAATCGATTTCCAACGGAATTACAATATATCCGTGCCAATATTTCCCGTAGTCACGTGCATGGCTGTCTTGCCCTGAGGCAAGGTAAGACACATATAAGTTGACTTACTGATTAATACCTATTCTATGGAGCCGTGTCCCAAAAGTTATTGAACTGCGCTAATTGTTGTGGTATATTCAACATATAATAATAATACAGATACAGCCTAAAGTACTAAATCCTCGAGCTGGACAAAGTAAGACTCACTTCATAACAAATAGCTTATATAGCCTATTATAGTAAATAATACTAAACCAGCTTTAATGAAAGACTATTAACAGGGTTATTCTTAATTAAATACTAATGCTGCAAAGCTATACCTAGATAGTTAGACTTCCAATATATCACATTTACAAGCAGATACATATATTTTAGCTAAAAAAAATCGGTGCAGTTTAATAACTGTTAAGAAAAAAGGATTAGTTAGGTATAGAAAATATAGCATTCCTATTATTACAAAACTAATCCTTAATATCCAGTAGTCTAGTAAACAATAAACAGTTAAGTATATAAAAAGGCTTTAAAGTTATTAATATTATAACTTTTATATATAGAATATATATAACATTTAAAAGGTTAATATTTATTGTTAATAATATTCTGCTGTTTATCTGTTGCCTCTGCCCTTTATACTGCCTATATAGCAGAACTTTTTATATTTTATATTCTTACCCTTCTAAACTCTTTTTTAATTTAATTATTATAATTAATAATATTATAAACTTTATTTATTACTATAGTAATTTTTATATATAGTAGTATATCTTCTGGCTATCTAGATATATATTTTTTATACCTTTAAAAAAACACTAGTATTTTTTCTTCTTCTGTATTTATTTTTAGTTATTACAGGTACTCTATTTTAATACTGTTAATTTTTTTTATATTTTATACCTATAGATTCTACTGGTTGCTGTAATTTCTGCTTTTTTAAATTCTCTTATTCTACTTTTACTTATAGGTTATTTAATCTGTAGAGCCCTGCCCTAGTTACTTAATTTATTAAAAACCTATTTTAGTTATCTAATTAAACAACTAAATCTATTTATATATATTTACTAAAGTTTAATTCTGCATTATTCTAAAATTGCCCTTTACCGCGTTCTCTACTTTAGTATATTAGTATATTATATTTTAGACTGTTCTAATTTCTTCTTATATTAATTCTTTCTATCTACTTATTTTTATTTTTTATTACTTTTTTTTTAATTATTCTGTCTTCCGCACCTATATCTATTTTTTATATTTTTAATATTATATATATTATATTTGCAGATTCCGAACCAAGCATATCCTAGTATTACTAATATTAAAAAT